CGCCGTGGCCGTGGCCGTAGCCGTTGCCGTGGCCGTGGCCGTGGCCGTGGCCGTTGCCGTCGCCGTCGCCGTCGCCGTCGCCATCGCCGCCGCCGTCGCCGTCGCCGTCGCCGCCGTCGCCGCCACCGCCGCCGCCGTGGTCGTGGCCGTGGCCGTGGGCGTGGCAGTGGCCGCGGCCGTGACCGTCGCAGTGGCACTCGCCATCGCCGTTGCCGTCGCCGTCGCCGCCGTCGCCGTCGCCGCCGCCGCCGCCGTGGCCGTCGCCGTGGCCGTGGCCGTGGCCGTGGCCCTCGCCGCCGTCGCCGTCGCCGTCGCCGTCGCCGTCACCGTCGCCGTCGCCGACGCCGTCGTCAACGTCGCCGTCGTCGTCGCCGTCGCCGTCGCCGTCGCCGTTGCCATCGCCGTCGTCGTCGCCGTCGCCGTCGCCGTCGCCGTCGCCGTCGCCGTCGCCGTTTGTCGCCGTCGCCGTCGCCTTCGCCTTCGCCGTCGCCGTCGCCGTCGCCGTCGCCGTCGCCGTCGCCGCCGCCGCCGTCGTCGTCGTCGTCGTCGTCGTCGTCGTCGTCGTCGTCGTCGTCGTCGTCGTCGTCGTCGTCGTCGTCGTCGTCTTCGTCGCCTCCCGCGGGCGACGGCGACGGCGCCGGCGCTCGCCATCGTCGGTTTCAGGGTGGGGTCCCTCTCGTCGTCGCTGCCCAACGGCGCCGGCGCCGGCGCTCGTTCGACCCCCCCCCTTTTGCTTGCAACTCGAGGGGGAAGAGCCCAACCCGCCCCCGGTTCGAACACCCCCCGCCCATTGGACAGATGGGGGGAGAACCCCAGGATTCGAACCCCCTTTTTGACAGAGGGGGTGCGGGCCCCTCAACGGTTCGAACCACACCCTCCTTGCAACTGCACGGGGGGCCATCCGCCCCCCGGTTCGAACCACACCCCCCCTTGAGTGTGCCCCCCCCCGCTGTTCCAGCGCTCCCTTGGCATTTCAGGGGGGGGGTCCTCTCCGGCTCGGCCCCCCCCCTCCCAGCGTCCACGCAACGCGTTATTTCTGTTGTTGGTAACGATGATGCTGTTGATGTTGAGGATGCTGATGACAATGACGATGATGATGATGATGACGATGATGATGATGATGGTGATTATGGTGATGCGGATGTTGATGATGCTGATGATGATGCTGATGATGAGGATGGTGATGATGGAGATGATGATGATGGCGGGGAGGATGAGGAGGAGACGGAGGAGGAGGAGACGGAGGAGGAGGAGGAGGAGGAGGAGGAGGAGGAGGAGGAAGAAAAAGAGGCTCACGACGAGGAGAAAGACGATGAGGATGCTGGTGATGATGCGGAGGATGCTAAGGCACACGAGGATGATAGAGGCGCGCGCGGAGGAGGGGGAGGGACCGGGACGACGGAAGGGGGAAGAAACTCCTCCTGGCATCGCCTCCTCCCGAAGCTCCCCCCCTGGGCCGACGGCCCGCCCTCGCCCTCCCCCCCCCCTCGTCGCCCAGGCGACGCGCAGCTCGGCAAATAGGGGGATCGGGGTGGGGTCCAGGCGACGTGTCGAGCAGATCCTGGCTCGATCGTCGCGGGAGAGCAGGAGGAAGAGGAGCAGGAGGAGGTGGAGCAAGAGGAGGCGGGTCCTGAGGGTCCTAATGAGGCGGCCGCCGTCTGGTCTCGGCAACCCTGTCGCACAGGCCGACACCCGCGCCGACGGTGAGCGAGCGCTGGACACGATGCCCAGCCAGGATTACGAGGGGCACCCAGCGTGACGACGAGTGAACGCCAGGGCCCAAAACCAAAAACGAGAGAGGCGGATCCAGCCGAGGCGACGCCAACCAGCCGAGCCAACCGCCGCCCAAAGCCGCCCGCAGCGAGGCGAGCAGCAACTCAGAGCCTCGAGGACGACGAAGCTCAGCCCTCCAGCCTGGAGAGCAGGTCCTTCATCATCTTGACGGCCTCCTGCATGTCGGAGACTTCGGACGAGTGCGCCACGCCGACTCCGCCGGCCTCCTCCTGAAGCAGCCCAGACTGGGCCTTGCCGCCAACCTGCAGCTGCTCGCCCTCGTCGCCGACGCCCGTCACGACCTCCAGCGCCTCCACGGGGTCCACGCCAAGGGCCATGCATTCGGCGTAGGGGCACTCGATGCTCTGGGCCACGCCACGAACCAGAACACTCTTCTTGCCAGACTCGATGTCCTCGACGCCGATGTGAAGCTTCACGCGCCCCTTCTTCACCTTCTTGTTGACGACTTCGATGACCTGGCACGGGCGCCCCTGCACCAGAACGACGGAGCCGACCCCCAGCTCGCCGCGTAGGACCGAGAAGACGCAATTTGCCATTAAAATTGCGCCTCCCTGGGGATTCGGCCCCAAGTCCTTCTGCACCGCATCCTCCGAGAAGCCGATGCCGTCCTTCACGTTGCTAGTGTCGAAGCCCAGCGCCACGTGCTTCGAACCCTCGCTGCCGAGCGACACTTCCTCGACGATGCCGAGCTCGTTGACGCCAGCGACGAGGTCGCGAGCCTCGAGCTTCTCTTCCACGATGCCGAACTCCACCTCCTTGCCGTTGCCGTCCTGCGCCATGCCGACGTCGCAGCCCAGCGCCACGAGCTCGCGTCGATCTCGCTGCTGATCGCCATATCCTTGCCGATGCCGTAGGACTTCTCGCCGACGCCAAAGCCCAGCGCCACAGCCTTCTCAACGCCCGAGAACTCAACATCCGAGCCGATGCCCTGTGTGAAGTTGTGGTCCTTGACCTGCTCCTCGTGCGGGCCGGCGCCCTTGATGCTGATGATGCCAATCATGTCGATGCTGCCAGAGACAGGCATGGAGTCGCCAAGAAAGTCAAAGACCTTGACCACCTGGGACCCGTGCCGCATGCCAATGAAGTAATGCTGGGTGCCATCGCCGGTCACCACTGCCTGACAACCCTCACCCACGGCTTCTTCTTTGGCGCCGCCGCTGGCTCCTCCTCCTCCTCCTCCTCCTCCTCCTCCTCCGAGTCCACCTTCAGCTCCGCGGTGCGCAGGTCCCGGAGCCTCTCGACCTCGGGCGGAGGCGGGGCACTGCACCTCCAGCAAGTCTCCGTGAACCCGAAGTTCACGTACCTGCACGTCTCGCACCTCCACTTCTGGACACGGGCGATGGGCACGCCCCGCTTGGCCGACTAGGAGCGGTTCTCCACCGACTCCGACGGCGACCTGCGAGAGCGTTTGCCCTTGCCCTCGTTATTGGCCTTCGTGTCCTGCCTGGATGTGCTCACCTTCTTCTTTGCGTGGGAGCAAGACCTCGCCCTTGAGCTCGACGCATCCCGAGCCCTCTTGCGTCTGTCCTTGTCACGCTTCTCGTTCTTGGCCTTGTTCGCTGCGATCGCCTGCTGCGCCTCCTCGAAGCCGAACGGTTCCGTCTCCTTCGCTGGCACCTCCGCGCGCCTCAAGGCCAGGAGCTCCGCATTGAGCTCCGCCTCCTGGTCATTGCGCAGCTGCATCTCCGCGGTCGGCGGCGGGCCAGGCGGCCTCGTCCCCCGCCAGTCCGCCGCCGGCAACGCCGTGCCCCACGAGCCCGGAGGGGCATCCTCGAGCACCTGCGTGAGCCCATGCTGGAAGATCCTGTTCCTCTCCAGCGGGCACCTCTTCGCAGCAGCTCCAGTCGTCACCCACGTCCCCCCTGGAGAACGAGTCCTCCTGGGCTGGGAGGCGTGCCAGGCGACACTCTGGGCGGCGCCGCAGCCATTGCCGCCGTCGACCTTGACGTCCAGGACGACCGAGTCGAAGGCGAGGTCGAAGCCCTCGACGAAGCTCTTGGCGCGCTGCCCGAGCTCCGCGTCGACGGCCTCCTTCAGCGCTCTGACCTCGAGCCTCATGCTGTGGCCCCATCGCGGCTCGGGCACGCTGCGCCCCTTTCACGATGCGCAAGCCCCCCCCCCCCTGGCCCCAGAGGGGGAAAGGGGCCAGCAGGAGGAGGAGGACGAGGAGGAGGAGGAGGAAGGAGGGAGAGGGGATGGAGGAGGAGGGAAGGGGAAGGATGACAGAGGGAGAACGAGGAGAACAAGCTGGCAGGAAAGGGTCGGCGAATTGGGGAAGAGGAAAAGGAGGATGAGAGACGACAGAGGAGGAGGGGAGGAGGAGGAGGAGAGGAGAGGAGGAGGAGGAGGAGAGGGAGAGGAGGAGGAGGAGGAGGAGGAGGAGGAGGAGGAGGGGGAGGGGGAGGACGATAATAACAATAATAATAATAATAATAAGAGTAGTAATGATAATACTATGAAGACGAATCATAAACATAAAACTAATTATAAGAAGAAGATGGCGACGATTCTTGTTGGAAAGAGGCGGAGAACAGCATGAGAAGAGAGGATGGAAAACATGAGAGAAAGACGGGAACAGGAGGGGGGGGAGCAGGAGGAGGAGGAGGAGGAAAAAGGAGATGAGGACGAGGAGCAGTTGGAGGGAGGAGGAGCTGGAAGGAAACGGACGAGGATGAGGAGGCGGGGCAGAAGGTGGAGGAAGGATACAGAAAAACAGGGGAGGACAAGGTCGAGGAACATGAGCTCCTCCCTTCTCATTCCCCCTCCTCGCACCTCCCACCTCTCTTCCTCCCGAAACCTCGGGAAATCGTCGAGACCTCCAGTCTGGAAGCGGAGGAGGAGGAGGAGGAGGAGGAGGAGGAGGAAGAAGAAGAGGCGGAGGAGAACGGGGACGAGGAGGATCTGAGGAGGGGGGGGGGAGGAAAAGCAGGAGGGGGAGGATCGGGACAAGCATGGGCGAGGGGATGCGGTCGTCCGAGCAAGGCCACGAGGATGAGGATGAGTTGGAGGAGGAAAGGGAGAGAGGACGAGGAGAGGAGAGGCTGGACGGATGAGAGAGGAGGAGGATGAGGAGGGAAACGAGACGTGCAGAGCAAGGGAGGAGGGGTAGGGCGAGGAAGAAGAGGAAGAGGAGGAGGAGGCGGAGGAGGAGCACGAGGAGCAGGAGAAGCTGCAGGAAGGGAGGGAGGGAGGGTCATCACGACGACCATCAGGCTTGCACCGTCGCGCACCCCGGACTCCCCCACCGTGCCGAAGCTGTCGAGCTTGGTGGCGCCCAGCACCAGCCTCACGCGCGCCGCACGGATGTCCAGGACGCGCGCTACCTTTGAGGCGCCGTGGAGCAAGGGGAGGGCGTGGACGAGGCCGCCGAGCAGAATGGGACGCAGAGGAACCTAACTCATACTATGCGCCATCCTTGAAGGCGCGCGGCCGAACACAACATGTAGCACTAACCTCGCGTAACATGCTGCCAGCTGGGCGGCATCGCCAGAAGTCGTCCACCTCCGAGCATATGCTATAAGATTTCTCCGCGTGCGCGTCGCCCCTTTGGGACCGACACACACACACACACCTTGTTCAAGAGCGTCTGGATGAGGCTGGCCATACAGCGGAGGCCAGTCCACAAGAAACCTTCCACGAGAAACTTGTCGCAAAGCCACCGACACCCAAGAAACCCAGGGCACCCTGGAGGCAAGGAGGGTGTTTCTTGGCATGGGCCCCCACTGTAGCACAGACCGGATGAAGATGATGATGATGAGGAGGAGGAGGAGGAGGAGGAGGAGGAGGAGGTGGAGGAGGGAGGAGGGAGGAGGGAAGAGAGGAGGAGGCGGGAGGAGGAGGAGGCGGGAGGAGGGAGGAGGAGGAGGGAGGAGGGAGGAGGGAGGAGAGGAGCAGAACATTCGGAGACCCGCGCAGAATCCGTGGGTCCTCGCCCCTGGCGCGCGCGCGCGCGTCGCGCGCCAGGGGCGACGCCAGGAGCGCCGTCGGGAGACAGCAGCGACCCCAAAATGCTGCGCGGGCCTGACTGTGCTGCTACGTGTTCTCCGGATGACGACGAGGATGCAAAGTAGGAGGACGACGAGGAGAAAAGAGGATCGGCCGCCGATGACCCAGGAATTCCACATGGTTTGCCTTCTTTGGGCCTCGCTTCGTCGCCGTGGCTGGTTCTGCACGCGCTCCAAGACAGATCCACCCATCCTCCCCCCACGGGGGCCTCCCAAATGGGGTCTGAGCAGTTAGGGTCGGAAGATCGCGCCGCATCGCCGATGCACCGGAGATGAAAAGGCGACGTCGGCGATATACCGGCGCCTTCGGCACGGAGAAGATTGGGCTCCACATCGAGCCACATCGCCGGTGCATCGGCGATGCGGCGTGATCATCTGGCGGCATGTGCTCGGACCCGGTGGAGGCCTGGACCCCAGGGCGGCTCAAGATAGCCGAAGATGGTTCAAGATAGCTTCCGACTCCAGGAGGCCCAGCGAAGGTCACCAGACGGTTCCAAGTGCTCTCGGAACCCCCTCGGGACCCCCTCAAGGGGCCAACACCCCAAAAACCTATCAATGACCTGTGCCGTATCGCCTGTGCGCTGCCGATGCGCTTCTGGAAGGGGGGAGCAGGGAGCGGAAGAGGAGGGGGAGGGAGGATTTGGCAGGGACCGACCGCCCCGACACTTCTATGGGCCTACCACGACATATTTCTAGAACCCAAAAGTGTTCTAAGGGCAAGACAAATGTTCTTGGAACATGCGCCCGATGCGTTCAAACAAGGCAGTCTCGGCCAGGAATGTCCCGAGAGCACCTCGTGCAAACCACAAACGGTCCTCAGGACAGTCTTTGGTGGGCCCAGAGGCCAGCCATGGGGGCGCCTCGCCACTGCCAGGGAGCAGAGAGGGCTCGAGGACGAGCCGGAGGAGCAGCAGGTCGAGGGCGTTGGCCCCGAAACCCTCGACTCCCTCCCCAGAACTCTCGGCCCCGTGCCGCGTTCCACTACTCGCACAGTAGCTGCTCACAAGTTGCCCGGATCCGCCACGAGAGGTTCACGATCCTTTACGCAGAGGAAGGCATGTTTGTTTCGGACGTTCGCGGGTAGGCACTTTGCGAGTAGTGGAACGCGCACGGTGATCCCACGGCGCCAAGCGACAGAGATGGACGGCCGCTGGGACTGAAGATGCCGGCCCCGCAGAGACGAACCACTGCATGCACGCAAACTTTCGGAGCTCCGCGCGGATTTCTTGTTGGGCCCCCCCTCCCTGGCACGCGGAGCGCGCCAGAGGCGCCGTCAGGGGGGCCCAGCGCCGATCCAAGAGATCCGTGCGGAGCTCCGAAAGTTTCTGTGCATGCAGTTCTCTCTTCTTCGAAAGATGTCATTACACCGACCTTGCAGAGGTGCGGATTTGGGCGTGGATTCCTGCCGATGTACAACCCGAAACGGCGAGCATAAAAAACGACATGCATTTCACGCGGATGTTTTTAAGTAGTCTCCAGTCCTGGCCAACAGACATATCCGCACGATATTCACCTCGAAACCTGGAACGACATTCTCCAGGACAGCCCGGGCCCATCCCATTGCTTTCCGAACGAGGTCCGCTCTACGATGTTGGCGCCAGGAGAGGTGTCGGCCCGCCCGCGCGGCCTCGGACTGCGCGCTCTTCACCAACGAGTCCGGCTGCAGCTCCATCGGTAGGAGGCACCATGCGAGCCCTGCCCCACCACCCCACGATTCCTGCGGTGGGGGGCGGGGCTCCCGCTCACCTCGCGAGCGAAGTGAGCCCCACCTCCCCCCTTCGAACTCGTGGGGTAGTGGGGCGGGGCCCGCGTGTGGCCTTCTACATCGGGATCTCCCGGCCGTCCATCAGGCAGGCGCGCACCTCGCCGCGCGGCACGCGCCAGGAGGCGGCGGCGGCGGCAATGGGCGGCCCTCCCAGAAGGCACCGAGGGGTGCCTCTCAGAGCCCCCCCCCCTCTGAGGGGCATCGATGGGGGGGGATTGGCTCATGGAGGGGTAACCGGGAAATGTCTTTAGAACCCCGCCCGCCAATAAAGTGTAATTGATTATTTGTTCACCGGCCTTGTTCAGGGATTGGCGTTTCACCAGTCGGGGAAACTAATTTGTTGTTTCCTGCGGCACCGCCGCGAAACAACGACGCCAACACGTTACAGCGACCTGGAATCGACGATACGTCACTCCTGGGCGGGGTGGGGCTATCAGACCCCTATCGGCGATCTGTGGGGGGTCGGTGCGTTCCCCCCCTGAGCCTATGCCCCCCTACCGTTGCCCCTGGGCCTTCCAGGAGGCCCTCCTTCTTTATAGCCAAGAAACTTCGTGACCCCGATCGCTCGATAGCCGCGATAGCCTCTTGCTCAGCAGGTGGAGACCCTGCCCCGTCGCAGCTCCCGGGAACTGCGCCCGCAAAGGGGCCACTGATCCAGCGGCCCCTTGAGCGACCTGGATGCGATGCCAGAGGAGGCTCTGCTCCCTCTCGGCACTGACGATGCACGATCTTGCACAAGAGGGCGAGAGGGCAGAGGAGCGAAACGCACATCAGTATGTTAACGCCGTCCAAGCGCTGGAGGGCGATGACGGCTAGCGGTGATTCCGAGACGAGCCTCGAACAACTGGGCTGGGGAGCCAGGGACACCCAGCCGTCTGCAGCTGCGCGAAGACATGAACGCACCAAGGACGACAGCAACGGTAAGATTAGACGACGGCGGTGATTGCGAAAGCAGCAGGGAGGGGAGGAGCCAGGGCGAGCCCTCAGGAGACGACCAGGACGAAAGAAAGAGAGAACCGAATCTCTGAATAAGGAAGCAAATACAAAGAAAACAAAACGGAATAGATATAAACTTTCGACGGGCCGCGCGGATTTCTTGGATCTGCGCTGGACCCCCCTGGCGGCACCTCCGGCGCCTCCTCTGGTGCGCTCCGCGCGCAAGGGAGGGGGGCCCAGCGCTGATCCAAAAAATCCGCACGGACCGTGGAAAGTTTCTGTTTATGCCGTTTTCTCTTCCGACGAAGTAGACGGCAGCATGAGTAATGATCTTCAAAAGCGCATCCCAGGACACAACCAGCGGGGTTGAGATCCGAAGGGGGGGAAATCAACCAGCACGGCCTTCCCAGGAGGCCTCCCATTGGAAGCCTCCGGGCCCTCCCGGAGGAGCCCCGCAGGGGCCTTCTCTTCAAGGCCGCGCGCCCACTCACAGCCCCACCCCGTTGAGCCCCTGGATCGGACGAGAGGGGGATGGTTCGGGCGGGTGGCAATGGGGGGCGGCCCAAATTGAGCATCGTTTAACCGATCCCCATCCCCAGCGGCGTGGCCTGGGCCCCACTGGCCGATTTGCCCCCCTAGATGGGGATATAGGCCGTTCCCTTCAGGTTTCGAGGGGTGCATCCTCAACTGAGGTGGTAATTTAGTGAGGTCTCAAAGGGGATGGGGATGGGGATGGGGATTGTTTAAACGATACTGGCACATGGGGGGTGGAGAAAAGGGCCCTGAAGGAGCACTTCGGGGCCCCTTCTGGAGCCCGCAAGGGCCCCGAAAGGGGCCCCCATACAGTGCCCCTTGAAGGGCTTTTCCTTCACCCCCCCTTTTGGGTCACCCTCATTGCCACCCGCCCGATTGGTGAAGGGGGGGACTCAGAGAACTGGCTCACGTGGCTAATTAACTATCCCCAGCGACTCCCGGCGCCGGAGGTAGGGCAGGAAAGGGCTGAGGGATATAGAAGGAAGAGGAGAGGCAGGAAAGATAATGTTAGAAGGGAGGAGGAAATATAAACAATCAAGAAAACACATTCCCCAGATGTGCACTGTCATGACGTTGCTGTGTACATCCGTCAAGCTTGCACACAGGACTCCCAGCGCCGGAGGCGGCCACGCATGGCGAGGAAATGCCCCGCGGCGGAGCTGGAACCAGCTGCACGCGCGGAGGCCGCCGAGATGCGGTCGAAGCGGACCCGGGGCCGGTGGACCGCGCCGCATCGCCGCTGCATCGGCGATGCACGCGCGACGTAGGCGATGCATCCGCGACGTCGGCGTGGAGAAAGTCGGGCTCCGCATCGAGCCGCATCGCCGATGCATCGGCGATGCGGCGCAATCCCCCAACCCCATCTAGGAGGAGGAGGAGGAGGAGGAGGAGGAGGAGGAAGAACGCCACATGGTCACACATAAGGTCTGGCCAACGGAAAAAAAAAGAGAGGAGGGGGAGGAGCAGGATGAGGAGGAGGAGGGGAAGGAAAAGAAGAAGTTTCGACCTCATGTGAGTGGCATGAGATTAATTTTCACCCCGGTCCCCCCCTCTCGTCCGCCCCGCTGCGCGCCGCGCCGGCCTGCACCGGAGCCCTGCTGGCCACCTGCGCGGCGGCGGCGGCCCCGGCGGCCGCAGCCGCTGCGGGGGCATGCTCCTGGGCGGCCCGCAGAAGGGGGCGTAACGGAGGAAGAGGAGGAGGAGGAGGAGGAGGAGGAGGAGGAGGAGGAGGAGGAGGAGGATGCGAGCGCAGAAAGGTCGGAGGAGGAGGAGGAGGAGGAGGAGGAGGAGGAGGAGGAGGGCGATAGACGCTGCGATCATCCGAGCATGATAACTGTGTGTAATACGGAAAAAGGAAGAGGAGGAGGAGGAGGAGGAGGAAGAAGAGGAGTTCTTTCAGTTCTCAAGCCCTTCAAGACCGCTTGTGACCGATGGGTAAAAGCTCTTGCTGGGGCTGGGTCCACAAAGACATTGCTCTGCCCCTGTCACAATTTCGCCTAGTGAGCCTACCATGATGCTGCACGCTCGACCTGCTACGAACTCGATCGCTGCGAGGTGGAAAGGGGAGCGACCGAAACGGCGACAACGGGAACCCCAGGACCAAGGGGAGAGAGGAAGCAGCGGCGGCGAGCAACGGCAAAAGGCAGGCGGCGCACGGCAGGCTGCACGGCCTATCGTGAGGCCCAGTGTGGGGGCGTGGCCGAGGGCGGCCACAACTCCCAACTCGTCACGACGCTGCAAATATAAATCCACAGGATAGCAATCAGTAGAGACGACCATCCATTTTGATACTTGAAATATCATTAGAATCAACCGCCAGTAGAGAAACCAGGAAAGTCATCACCAACTGAGATATCAGTAAAGACAAACACCTAAAATCTTGGAGAAGAGACGTACGCCCTATTAAATCATCAGCTGAAATGTCAGTAAAGGCTGCCACCATCAGTAGAAACTGCCATAATCAATTGACATGTCAGCAAGAGAAGAGACATACGCCCGTTGAGTTGCCAACTGGGATGTCAATAAAAGCAGCCGAAGTCCGCATAGACAACCATCATCAACTGAAAACAGCCGACCCCTTGGGGTCACGGCGTGTGAGATGCTTCCCCCTCCCCAGACCCCTCCCCCGGGCGCCCATGCAGTCCGGCCGGTTTGGAAGGGGGGGGGCAAAGGTGTTGGCCGCACAACACTTGGAGCCTCAGGAGGCCCCAAAACGGGCCAAAAAGGTTCAAAAGGGTCCCGGAACGGTCCAAGAGAGCTACCAGTCGACAAAAAATCGTTCCAAAACACCGGAATGCCTCCAAACGGCCCCATCAGTCCCCAAAACTCTTCAAAAAAGTACGACAAGGCGCACCACGAACGCCCTCCAGAAGCAAAAATCGTCCAATTACCGAGGGGCAAGGTACATTTTCAGCACATGTGCCTGTTGGGCTTCCACGCGGCCCCCAACGGCACAAGAAGCCTTCAAGATCAACCCTCCGCAGCCCAAGAGGCTCCCAAGAAGGCTCCACGACGGCTTCCAGGCGATCTGCGAAGGCTCCAGAAACCATAGCAACGGCCCGGGAGAGCCGCAGGACGGTCCCAAGAGGGTCCAAAACGGGTCAACAGGGTCCCCAAAGGCTGCCCAGACGGCCAACGAGGGGAACGATTCGGTCCAAACCGCCCGAGATTGCCTCCAGACAGCCCCATAGGCCCCCAAGACGTTTGAAAACGCGTCCACGAGGCGCCCCAAAAGGGCCTCTGGAAACACAAATCGTCCCATTCCCGAAAAAAAACATGTTCGATACATTCGCCTCTTGGGCTTCCACGAGGCCTACAGCGGCCCAGTAAACCTCTAAGTTCGACCCCCGGCACCCGAAGAGGCTTTCAAGAAAGGCTCCACGACGGCTTCCGGGCGCACCACGAAGGCCTCAGAAACCACAGCAACGGCCCAGGACAGTCGCAGGTCGGCCCCACGAGAGCCCCACAACGGGCCAAGAGAGTCCCCAAAAGCCTTCTGGACGGCCCACAAGGGGGACGATTCGGTCCAAACCACCTCAGCTTGCCTGCAAATGATTGATTCCCCATAGGCACCCGAGACGCTTGAAACAACTACAACGAGGCGCTCCACGAAGGCCTCCAGGAGCAAACATCGTCCTCTTCCCGAGGGAAAACATACATTTTCAGCACATTCGCCTCTTCGGCTTTCACGCGGCCTACAACGGCCCAGGAAGCATCCAACATCGACCCCCTACAGCCCCAGAGGCTTTCAAGAGGGTTCCAAGACGGCCTTCGGGCGCCCCACGAATGCCACAGAAACCATAGCAACGGCCCTGGAGAGCCGCAGGACGGTCCCAAGAGGGCCCCAAGACGGGCCCAAATGGGTGCAACAGGCCCCGGAAGCCACCAAACCGACCCAGGACGGCCCCCCCCAAAATTCCCAAATGGGTCCCACAATGCCCCCCCGACGGCTCCAGAGCGCGAGTTACGACTCGGGAGGAGATCGCTCCCAGACGCCCGCCCATGCTTCCAGCTGACCCCTGAGGCCCCCTGGACGCCCCAATACGCCACCAGGACGCGTCCCAAGAGGCCCGGCAAAACCAAACCTCGGCCCCTTCCCGAAGGGAACCGTCTAAGTTTAACACATTCGCTTCTTGAGCTTCCACGAGTCCCACAACAACTCCCCCCAAAATCTGTAATCAACCCCAAAACCCCCGTATGCCCCCAAGGAAGCTCCCACACCGTACAAACGGGCCGCAAACCCGAATGGAGAATTCGAGCACTTGGCCCCGAAAAAACATGAAAATGCGCCTAAATGCACCCAAGAAGCCCTGACGGGGATCCGCAATGCCCCAGACAGAAAAATATCGAAACAACTGAAAATAAAGACTCTGCAGCAAAATCCTTTTCTTCTCCCCACGCAGAAATCATTGACCGTGAACCCCCCAGACCCTTCCCGGAATCCATTCGCAATCGTTTTCCCAAATGCACCCAACCGCGGCGACAGGGGGGGCCCGGACCCCCCCCTATCGCAACAAACTTCCCGAGTCCGACGGGTCACCCCGCACAAATTCGCTTAATACAAAAACGGTTCAAACAAAAATCTCTGGAAAGGCGGCCGGAACTCACGCGGGCACCCACCTCGATCGAGAAGAGGAAGAGGAGAAGGACGAGGAGGAGGGAGAGGAGGAGGAAGAGGAACAAAAATAACAACAAATCCGTCGTCGCCGCCGATGTCTCACAGATTTTCGCGGTCTTTCGACCACCCGAGGCATCTCTTCGAATTCGGCCTCCGAGAACTTTTTTCGGTGCCCCGGACCGCCACCGAGGGTCCGGGATTAAGATCGACCTCCCTGGCCAGTGCCGCCCCTTCGCATAGGAGGGCGCGCGGGATGGATCGAGGCTCGAGGCATGGGGCTCCTAATTATTGGGCACTCTCCGCCCCCTCTGGGCCTTCAGGAAGATCCTCGTCGACGCAGCTGGGTCCACTCTCGAACTCCTGGCCGGGCGCGCCCCCGGCTGGGTCCCAACGATCCCCGAGCCTATCCAGGGGGGGCAAAAGGAGGCCTAGGACAGACCCCGCGAAAGCCCCAAGAAACCCACAAAAAAACACGAAGAACTTCAAAACAATCCCCTACAAGGCCCCCCCTTGAAACCCACGCGCTACGCAAGGAAAGCCGAAGCCCCAAGACTGCCCAGCGATCGCGCGCGTTCCGCGAACTCCGTCTTTCACTCTTGTTGCCGCCTCAAGGGGTCGGCGGCGCGGCGTAAGCCAATGTATATTAGTAGAGACAACCACGAAGAGACGAGACATACACCAGTGAACCATCGGCTGAAATGTCAGTGAAGGCTGCCACCACCAGTGGAAACAACCATCACCAACTGAAATACCAGTACAGACAACCACCCATTGAATCATCAAGTGCCTGACTCACGTCCACGGGCCTGGCATCCTATCTGTCCGGCTAGATTGCCGCGAAGAGCGCGATTGAGCTTGACGTCGCCTCCCATGGCGCGCGGGGCCTCGCCTCGCGCGCGAGCTGCTCAACCTGCACCCAGTGTCTCTTCGCGTGGAACATCTCCGTGGGGGTCTCCAGCGGGCTAAGCTGCACCGTTGGGTCGGCTTTCTGGCGGCCTGTGACGGCCTTCAATAGCTGCCCCTCGGCCGTGACCTCGCCCGGCATGAGTGCGCTGCCGCGCAGCGACGACGCAGTGCGACTCGTGGGTTCGGCCCCCGCTCGACTGCAAATCGAAGGGCGCATCGCCTCGCGCGCCCAGGCTGCCATCGCGCGAGGCTCGCCTTGGCTCATCATCAAGGGCAACCTTTTGCAAGGGCGCATGACCATGCTCATCCGTCCTGAAGACTCCTTGAAGCTGAAGTTCTCGCTGGCGGCTGGAAGAGCGATAATGTTCCGGGGCGCGGGGCCGGCCGCGGGCGCGCCGGGGCCCGCCTTGCGAGCCAGAAAACAGTCTTGGCACGAGTCGTTCGTGCACTCCGCGGCCGTGGATTTTCCCTGGGGCGAGCGCTGCCGAGACGGCCTGGTGTTCTAGCGAGCGGATCCGAGCCTCCAGCTGCACTAGAAACTCATCGCGAGCTTTGCCTTCCCCTCCGCCTTCGAACGTCTCCCCGCCCTCGCCCTCGCCCTCCGCCGAGTCCGTCTTGCCATGTTTGGCGGCGCTGGAGCATTGTGCGAAGCCCTTGCTGCGCGGCCCGACCGAGCGCAGATGCCGAGAATGGGCCTCAGCATTGCCGAAGACCTCGGGACGCTCATTTGGCCTGCGATGCGCGGAAGGAGTCATGATTCACGACGTTTTCGGACCGCCCTCGATCGCCGGGGCAACGCCGACGAGCAAGACTGCGTTTCGCGCGCTGTTTGGCGGCCGTTCTCCCCCCGAGCGCCCCGCCACGTACGGCGCGCTTATAGGTGGACGCGCGTAGCGCAGCTTCCCGCCCCCCCCACCCCCGCTCGCCGATGCCGCGCGCGCGGCGCGCCGTTTGCGCGCGGTCCGCGTCGCGAGGCACTGCGATCCGTCGGCCAAGTGTTAACGACAGACAAAGTCGCCTCCAACGGTGGCTTCACCTCGCGTCAGCCCCGCTCGCGCGGCGGGTCGCTGAAAGAGAAACGCAGCTCGTAGTTGCGTTGCATCTCTCTTGAGTTGCCCGCCACCTTCGCGAAT